CTACTGTACACCTGTGTCCTGGCTCTGTATATCATTAGTGTTCTACTGTACACCTGTGTTCTGGCTCTGTATATCATTAGTGTTCTACCGTACACCTGTGTTCTGGCTCTGTATATCATTAGTTTTCTATTGTACACGTGTTATCACACTGTATATCACTAGTTTTCTATTGTACACGTGTGTTATCATACTGTATATCACTAGTTATTCTACTGTACACGTGTGTTATCACACTGTATATCACTAGTTTTCTACTGTACACGTGTGTTATTACACTGTATATCACTAGTTTTCTACTGTACACGTGTGTTATCACACTGTATATCACTAGTTTTCTACTGTACACGTGTGTTATTACATTAGGGTTATTAGGGTAACACTCTCGGGCTACCCTAATCAAATAGTGGGATTTGACCGTTACTCTTATAACGCACCCACGGCCCAAAGTGAGAAGCGCTATTTTGCGAAAACGGGACGCGAACTCATAATCCTGGAGCTACAGTAGGGCATTCTAACCACTAATCTAAGCCAGACCAGTCAGAGATATAACATTTGGGAACTACTCAAGATTAATCTGGATCTTTTCTCAAGTTTTAGTCTTCTTTCACTTTGTCACTTTCTCTTGTTTGTTTTTTTTTAAGCACAAAACTACACAAAGGCTATCTGTGCTGTGCTCACCACGGGTATCGAAGCGCAGTTTATAGCGTTATAAACCTTGAGATTTGCCACTGGGGAGCTTCTTTCTTCTCAATATTTAGTTTTGTCCACTTTCCGATGGCTCTACGGCAAGCCTGAGGGTTTATAATGCTAAAATTTAGGGTTGGATTCCTGCTTTGGGTAGAGAGTAGATAAAGCCCGGTGTATAGCTTTACGCTTAAATAAAACTAGGTACTTGTTCATTTTGCCACGCCCACTGTGTCCGTCAGTTGATTTGCACGTGAAACAATAATCATAATTTATATAGAATCCACTAACATCTATTCTCGCACATTCTCGTCTGCCTAAAACTGTTCTTATAGTTTAAAACACATCACACATGTCTTTTTTTACTACACTACAGTGTTATATATTATTCATAAACGTATATGAAACAGTTAAGACCACAAGCTTTGGGCTCTTAGTGGCTCAGCGGTAAGTCTGAATGATTACAACGCTAAATTTCGGGTTTCCGTACCCTTGGTGGGCACAACACAAGTAGCCCATTGTGTAGCTTTGTGCTTAAAACCATAGAAACAAAACAAAACAAAGCACAAGATTGAGGAAATAAAAATATAGATAAACCCCAAACTTACCCCTGAGCATTGAGGACAATAGAGAAACGCCAAATGGTTGCTTAAATCTGAAAAACAGTGGTTAAACTGGGATTCTGAAAGAGATGGAACCCCCCTTTTGCGATCTAAATCGAAAGACCAAGAACACTAATGGCTTGAATTCTCAAGAGGCGGAATTCCGCTCTGCCCCAATCCCACCCCTGCTGAAAATCACAAACACTCTGCACTTCTCATGGGTTATTGGGGCTGTAGTCCCAAGCTCAGGCTCGAAAAAAGCCCAATATGAGGTTTAGTTTTTTATTTTTTTAACCTTAGTCTTTTGTCACGACCATAATAGGCCCGGTAGAAAAAGTTAGCCTCAGCCCCTCTGACCCTTAATTCGCTCCTGGCACTTCTGCCGTCCCCTTCCCATCACCAGCAGATACTACTGTCACAGAAAGAAGTATCAAACCAGAGCTGTTTCAACCAATAAAACAGTAAATCAGAATATGATCGAATTTTAGGAAGTAAAAGACTGTTTCAACCAATAAAACAGTAAATCAAAATATGATCGAATTTTCGGAAGTAAAAGGGATTCTGTCAGTGGCACGTGCTAAATGAGAGGAAAAATCTGCGCATTCTCTGATAAGGTCACGCGAAACGCGAGAATAACAAATCAAATATCGATCTTGAAACTTATTAAATGTTTGAGACTTTCCTCCAGAATAGCATTTTTTTTTCAAATTCTAACCATTCTTTTTTTAACGAATTAGCAAAAGCGTACTAAAAATTCACAAAATTATCTTTCTGATCATAAAGCCTTACTAGTTGAACTTTGTCAGTATCTCATAAATGTCAGAAATAAATAAAATAAGAATAACAAAAAGCTAAAAATGGTTTATAAAGTAATTACATCAACAGTGTCAACGTTTCAACAGACTTAACCATAACAAAAACCCAGATTAGGGTTAACTCTGGGAAAAAATGGACGTCGTCTATGAAAAAAAAAGAAAAGAACGTCATTTATGAAATTCTTTTGTGTATGTATTATTAGCTGTTTGTTTTTACTTTAATTATTTCTAAAGCCTTTCTATGCTTGCAGACTGGATTTTATAACAAAACCAACGCAGTGATTCAACAGAACCACCGCTAAGCCTAAAAGGCGTACACTTTATAGAGAGATAAATTAATGTGTACATTGTAATTCGCAACCAATGTGCCCGGCATGGCCAGGTGGTTATGGCGCTTGACTCGCAATCTGAGGGTCCCACCAAACATGCTCGTCCTTTCAGCCGTGAGGGCGTTATAATGTGACGGTCAATCCCACTATTTGTTGGTAAAGAATAGCGCAATAGTTGGCGGTGGGTGGTGATGACTAGCTGCCTTACACTGCTAAATTAGGGACGGGTAGCGCAGATAGCCCTCGTGTAGCTTTGCGCGAAATTCAAAACAAAGAAACAAACTAACGAAACGTTATTACTTATGTGTGTGTGTTTAATTGTATTCAAATAATACTTAATCAATAGAAACAACTTAATATAAAATATCAAAGTTTGTTACTATTAATACGAAGTTCGTTATAAAAAATAACACTAACAAACTAATAAATTTTGAAGCCTAAGAACAGTAAATAATAAATATATTCAATGTGATCTGCTGCTTATGTTCTACTTCATAAGGTGCCCGGCATGGCCAGGTGGATAAGGCGCTCGACTCACAACCT